AGAGAGAGAGAGAGAGAGAGAGAGAGAGAGAGAGAGAAATGATTTATGATTTAATTTATATTTAATTTTAATGTTGGTATTTAATATCATCGTAAATACACCCCCATTTCTACTATACAAATATGAATTTATATAATACTCACTCCAAAGATAATCTTTGGATCGCTTCCAATAGTTGCGACCGAAGCGTATGTTTTCCGGACTCAGCGTTGCGTTCATTAATACTTTCTGAACGAAATCTGTTTTATACATCTTTGCCATCGCGTCCTCTAATGTGTCAAACACTCGATCGCATAATGTTTTGTCCTTCGGAAGGATAGGCACTGCATATGAAATATGTGTACATTTAAATTTTATTATTACATTTAGGTAATCATACAGTATATATTACCGTATATAGTAAATTATACATTGTATATTACTTAACAATATACATGTACAATGTGTCCTATAATATACTCCCAAAAATGAAAAGTAGAGGCACCCCAGCATAAGCACAGAAGCGCAGTTTATAGAAGAACTTGAATTAAACATTACAAATGTTATTCATAATATTGATGAAAATATGCTTAAAAATGTTATAAATAATTTTTCTATTAGACTCCGCCATTTAATATTAACTAATAGCAGTCATTTTGAAAATTTAATACAATACACTTAATGTTATTAACTCTTTATCATATAAATTGATTCAAATAAACTGTTTTTTTTATTAATTATAAAATTAATGTGTTTAAATAAAATGTTTTTTTATTTCTAAATTGACCAACTCAAATTAAACTGCGCTTTTGTGCTTATGTAGGGGTGCCTCTACTTTTCATTTTAGGGAGTATATTATAGAACACATTGTATATGCGATACTTTGTTTCACCTAATACAGCATTACTTCTATAAAAATATCACACAAAATATTGCATACACTCTGTATAGTATACAGTACATTTATACTACAGTAATTGTACAATCATCGCTTACTTATATGGAATCTAAAATCAAGATCATCCATTTCACGGATCAATTGGAAGAGCTCGAGCTCTTCGGCGGCCGTTATATTTGCCGCGTGTGAGTCAATCACACTCTTGTAAAAGTTGAACACTCCTTCAATATTAAAGTCCGTATACTGTATAAAGTTAGACAACGGGCTCGGCTTGTATTCGGGCTGACGTTTCAGGTACTCCTGGATCTGTAATATATGCCAGAGGGGCACCAAATCGGCGGCCATCATGCGTACAAATGAACCACGTAACATTTCGCGCCAAAGCACTAGATGATTATCGATGAGCGTATCGGTGGGCGCGTACATCAGTATATCGTCGTCAATGCCGCCCAATAAGTGTTCAAATTTGTCCAAATATTTGTTCAGTTTTTGTTCCATTCCTAACACAACTCCGCTCAAAAATTGGCGCTCGTTATCATTGGTAGCCAGAGTTAGCGCACGTTTTAACATTTCTAGACGCGCTGTTTATTAATGGGTAGCAATCAAACAAAATTAATCTTGGTTAAAATAATTAGTTTTATGGTAATACTATTTATGCACAGAATACAGCATGACCAAATGCTGTTTAACTAAATATTTAACTAAATTTAACCAACTTTTGTTGTACTACTCACTGAGCATCACGTGTTTAGTTCTCTTCCAGTACTTCTGTCCGTATCGTATGTTTTCTGCACTCATTTCTCCCGTCATTAGTATTTCCTGGACGTAGTCCTCGACAAACAGTTTCGGCAATGAGTCCATCAACGGCTCCAACAGTCGTTCACTTAATGTTTTGTTTGAAGTATTAGTACTAATACTTATGGGCCGATCAGTAGTGAAAGGAATTATCGGGCGATCTGTAGAGACAGGACTTATGGTCCCATTGTTAGGTATTTGTGGTTTTTCTGAAACAACACTAATTAAAAATGATTATTAATCGCAATATTTAAATAAATTTAACATATATTAATGTGTTATACTTGTTGGTTTGATTTGTTTTGACCATGTTTATCAAAATAAACAACAATGTATATTTTATGAGAAACATGTCGAATTAAGGTACTTTTAGCTAGATTCAATTAAACAATTATTTATATTAATTTTGAACACTTTATATCTATGGATGTAAACTACAAAAATTTTATAATTTACAATTAACTAGAGTTATCTAAATTAAATTGAATACCAGATTGTTATTAAAAATAATTACGTAATTTCAATTTCAATATGTTGAATAGAGTGATCAAATATCAACCTCAGTATTTATGTTTACTTAGATATTTATGATGTAGTTAGGATTATACAAAATTACATAATTAGTTAAATCTACTTAGGCATCAGAAACCAAGCTTCACAAAGATATAAATCATTGATTTTTATATTGAAATTTTCAAAAATGTAAAAATTTGTAAAAATACTTTTAAAAATTAGCACCAAAATTATTATATTCTTATCATACATTTATATTGCATATTATTAAACAAATAATTTAAAATGCTGCAAAATTTAACCGGAATTTGACAAAATATGCAAAATCGTGACGGTTGGTTACACTAATGTTGGCTAACACTCTGTCGTGTACTGAAAGCATGAATTTAATTAAATGTACATAAATTATATAAACATTGTTTTTAATGATAAACACTGCGTTTACTTTTGTATTAATAGCAGCATTAAATTTATTTCATAAATACAAACACGCTAAAATGAACAAATTAGGGTCTGCATGTCGTTATATAACACAAAAATTAATATAATTATTAAAAATAATAAGTAAAGTCAAATATCTTTTAAAGTATCAATTTGATATAAAAATGGATTTCATATTCTTAATCACCATTAAATTCTACATCTAATTCATATATCATATATAAACAAGGTTCACACAGCGATGCTATACGTTAACCACTATTCGGGTGATTCTCAAAGGATAGATTTGGATTGTCTACACATTCAAAAAGAGTCCATAGAATTATTCCTATGCCATAGACTTAGCATTACCCATGTTATCCCTATGCCATAGACTTAAGCTGTAATCCCATGTTAATTCCCTATAGACTCTAGAATCCCATGTTAAAATATAGCCATAGATTTAAGCTGTAATTCAATGTTAAATCCCATAATATGGGGGCCGGAGCGCGGAGGGGCAGCCAAACGATCCTATAAACCACATTATTCATATCAGAATAGTGGTTAAAAAATTAGTTACAAATATTTTTTTAACAAATGTTCTAAGTCGAAAATCTCGAAAAATATTCGAGATAAAAGATTTTCGATTTCATATTCGGGTTTTGCGTTAAATTTCATATAAAAATTATCCATTAAATTTGAATTAAAACGATATTAAATTTTGGTGTTATATAACGACACGCAGACCCAAATTAGCCTATGTAGTACTGAGATATTTAGCATCTACGTGTACCACTATTCGGGTGATTCTCAAAGGATAGATTTGGATTGTCTACACATTCAAAAAGAGTCCATAGAATTATTCCTATGCCATAGACTTAGCATTACCCATAGACTTATCATTGCCATAGACTTAGCATTACCCATGTTATTCCTATGCTATAGACTTAAGCTGTAATCCCATGTTAATTCCCTATAGACTCTAGAATACCATGTTAAAATATAGCCATAGATTTAAGCTGTAATTCAATGTTAAATCCCATAATATGGGGGCCAGAGCGGGGAGGGGCAGCCAAACGATCCTATAAACCACATTATTCATATCAGAATAGTGGTTAAAAAATTAGTTAAAAATATTTTTTTTAACAAATGTTCTAAGTCAAAAATCTCGAATAATATTCGAGATAAAAAATTTTCGATTTCATATTCGGGTTACGCGTTAAATTTCATATAAAAATTATCCATTAAATTTGAATTAAAACGATATTAAATTTTGGTGTTATATAACGACACGCAGACCCAAATTAGCCTATGTAGTACTGAGATATTTAGCATCTACGTGTTCCACTTCTTTAATCATTTGGATGAGCTCGAGTTCTTGGGCGGCAGTTATATTGTTGCCGTGGCTATCGATGATCTTCCTATACATAGTGGCCACTTGTTTCATAGGGATATTCATAAACATAATCATATCGGACAGGGGTTGGGGCCGATAGTGGAGCTGAAGTTTAACGTACTCTTGGAAGTGTAGTGTACGCCAAACGTACACCATTTCCAGCAACAACATGCGTAGGAACGAACCACGTTTCATTTCGCGATAAATTAGTAGCTTATAGTCAATGGCCGACTCGTCCATCGCCCGGAGCCGCACCTCATCGGGAACGCCACCCAATAGTTGTTCAAACTTTGCGAAATACTCGGTTAAACCGGTGCCTAATTGTTTAACAAAACCATCCAGAATTGTGCGATGATTATTATCGGTCGCACTTGCGGTGGATTTTTTCAATAGCTCGACGTGGGCTGTATTGAGAGAGAGAGAGAGAGAGAGAGAGAGATGATTTATGATTTATGATTTAATTTATATTTAATTTTAATGTTGGTATGTAATATCATCGTAAATACCATACCGTAAATATCACTTCCACTATACAAATATGAATTTATATAACACTCACTCATTAGATAATCTTTGGATCGCTTCCAATAGTTGCGACCGAAGCGTATGTTTTCCGGACTCAGCGTTGCGTTCATTAATACTTTCTGAACGTAATCTGTTTTATACATCTTTGCCATCGCGTCCTCTAATGTGTCAAACACTCGATCGCATAATGTCTTGTCCTTTGGAAGGATAGGCACTAAATATTAAAATATTTATACATTTGAATTTTATTATTACATTTAAGTAATCATACAGTATACACCGTATATAGTAAATTATACAGTGTATATTACTTAACAATATGTATGCGATACTTTGCCTGACCTAATACAGCATTACTTCTATAAAAATATCACACAAATATTGCAAAACTCTGTACAGTATATTACACTGTATACAGTACATTTATACTACAATAATTGTACAATCATTACTTACTTATATGGAATTTAAGATCGAGATCATTCATTTCACGAATCAGTTGGAAGAGGTCGAGCTCATCGGCGGCCGTCATATTTGTCGCGTGTGAGTCAATGACACTCTTGTAAAAGTTGAACACTCCTTCAATATTAAAGTCCATATACTGTATAAAGTTAGACAACGGGCTCGGCTTGTATTGGGGCTGACGTTTCAGGTACTCCTGGATCTGCAATATATGCCAGAGGGGCACCAAATCGGTGGCCATCATGCGTACGAATGAACCACGTCTCATTTCGCGCCACATTACTAGATGATTATTAATGAGCGTATCGGTGGGCGCGTGCATTAGTATATCGTCGCTAATGCCGCCCAATAATTGTTCAAAATTGTCCAAATATTTGCCCAGTTTTTTGCCCATTCCTAACACAACTGGTCCCAAAAATTGGCGCTCGTAATCATTGGTGGTCACACTTAGCGCACGTTTTAACATTTCTAGACGCGCTGTTAATTAATGGGTGGCATTTAAACAAAATTGTCTTGGTTATAATAATTAGTTTGGTGGTAATACTATTGGGTCATTTGACAATGTTCAGGCCTAACTGCTTTTTAGTGTAGATAAAATTATGAAAATGGTATCATAATTTAAGTTAACATTCCTAGGCCCCAGAAACGAAGTTTCATTAAAATTGGTTGATTAATGTTTATACTAGAAATTTTTAAAATGTGTCAGTTGGGATTATTTTTACAAATTTGTGTAAAAATATTTGGTGAAAAATTATTACATTTTTAAAGTGAAAATATTTTTACAAAATACACGTTTAAAGGGATTATTTGGATATTGATATTCACAATTAGTTATCCAACAATAGTTTTAACAAGATTTCATGACATCAACTATAATGGAAATCAAATGCGAACCGACCGAACACTGGCCGCCAATCGGGTTGACTACCGATAAAGATTTGGTCACAGCTGGGGTATCGGTCAATGTAGGCCATTGAATAGCATATCATTAGATTCAGTAAATATGGAAGATTTCAGAAGAGGAAGGGTTTTGTATTATCTCTATTATTATTTAAGCATGATCAATTTTAGTCTAAAATTACACGTCAATAAATACTAAAATAGCCACTCTCCCATAGGAATACATTATTTTGGCAGGTGTCATATAAAATATTCCTGTGTCTTAACTATTTATGCGAATTTTATAAAACTTGGTTTCTGATGCCTAAGAATGTTAACTTAAATTATGATACCATTTTCATAATTTTAGCTACACTAGAAAGCAGTTAGGCCTGAACATTGTCAAATGACCTAATATTTATGAACAGAATACAGCATGACCAAATGCTATTTAACTAAATAGTGCATAATAAAAGCAAGTTTTGTTGTACTACTCACTGAGCATCACGTGTTTAGTTCGCTTCCAGTACTTTTGTCCGTAGCGTATGTTTTCGGCATTCATTTCTCCCGTCATTAGTATTTCCTGGACGTAGTCCTCAACAAACAGTTTCGGCAATGAGTCCATCAACGGCTCCAACAGTCGATCACTTAATGTTTTGCTCGAAGTATTAGTACTAATACTTATGGGCCGATCGGTAGTGACAGGAATTATCGGGTGATCTGTAGAGATATGAGTTATGGTCCCATTGTTAGGAATTTGTGTTGTTTCTGAGACAACACTAATTTAAAATAATTATTAATCACGATTTTTAAATAAATTTAACATATATTAATGTGCAATACCTGTTGGTTTGATTTGCTTTGACCAAGTTTATCAAAATAAACAACAGTGTATATTTTATGAGAAACATGTCGAATTAAGGTACTGTTAGCTAGATTTAATTAAACACTTATTTTTATTAATTTAGAAACACTTTATATCTATGGATGTAAACTACAAAAATTTTATGATTTACAATTATCTAAATTAAATTAAATACCAGATTTTTGACAGATTTTTATTAACAATAATTACGTAATTTCAATTTCAATATGTTGGATAGAGTGAACAAATAAAAACCTCGGTATTTAGATATTTATGATGTAGCTAGGGTTATGAAAAATTACATAATTAATTAAATTAATTTTTTTAGGCATTAGAAACCAAGTTTCACAAAGATTAAAAATTTTAATTACAGATTATAGATTTAAATTTTAAATCATTGATTTTTTTATTGAAGTTTTTAAAAATGTAAAAACCTGTGAAAATACTTGTAAAAATTAGCACCAAAATTATTATATTCTTAGTGCCTATTATCAAACATATAATTTTAAATGCTGCAAAATTTGATCGGAATGGTAAGCTTGACAAAATGTGCAAAATTGGGACGGTTGGTTACTCTAATGTTGGCTATCAGTGATAGCCTATCACTCTGTCGTATACTGAAAGCACGAATTTAATTAATTATATTGGATTTCGGATTTTTATTAGAAAATAATTACGTAATTGTAATTTCACAATGTTGGCTATAATCAATGCTCATAAATCACAAACTTAAATCTTAATTAACTTATTTTTTTTAGAAACTAATTAATAATTACAGATCAATGAATTTAAATAAAAACCTTAAGTAAATCTATGTTTATACACATACAGTGCAACTTCTGTATAAAAAATATCTTTATTTCCAACAATTTTAGAGTAAACTTATACTTATTAAAACAACGTTTACAACCGATAAGAAAAGTACACTCTATAATAAAAGCGTTCAGGTTGAAACGGGGGATATTATAAACATGACGTGGTTATTGAATTGCCAAGGAGTTCTTTCAAGTATTCATTATATTAGAGTACACTATATGTG